GTGTTTGAGACAGGATCTCACTATGTAGTTGAGACTGACCTGGAACTCACCATGTAGCCCAGGCTGGTCTCGAACTCACAGCGATCCACATGCCCCAGCCTCCTGAGTGATGGAATTATAGGTGTGAGCCACCACGCCCGGCTAATTTGTGTATTCTTAATCTATTGCTTAACAGCAAAAAATAAATGTAAGGGCACAACCACTTTTTTGTGCTTCTTTAAAACTGATTAAGATTTACAAAGAAAAAAGACTAACCATAAAAATTAAAACCATGAATTAATTTTCTGTTGATGTTGCTTGAATTATCCCCCCAATTTAAGGTCAGCTTTCTTAATGCTGCTATAGTTGTTATGCTGGCAACAACAACAACAACAACAAAAAACCCAGGTTACCTTAGTGAAGAGCATATATTTAGCAGGAATATTTCTAAACACCGGAATATTTCTTTGGGTTGAAAATTCTGATATGCTCTGTATAGAAAAGGGGAAGGTATGAAAAATATAAAACAAAAAAGAATACTGGTTCATTGTACACACAAAAGCCTAGCTATTAAGAATTGCCGTCAACAGAATAAAAGGGAATGCCAGTGGATACTCTCTGGATGGGTACCTAGACTGTGATCAAAATGAAAAAAGAGGAAGAAACCATACATAGTTCTGTATGTAGTGATAAAGACATCTGTAAAAATCCCTACCTAGAGAATCTCTAAAATGAGATTCAGCAGAAGAAACTTTAGATTCAGAAACTTCTCATTTAACTGGTGAATGGCACAATAGTTCAGTGACTTGCCCAAGGTCACATGGCAGTCTGGACCAGAACAAAAGTCACCTTAGATAAGCTTTGCTCTGTACTCTCTCATCTGTCTCTAATCCTCCGAATTGATCCCAATTCTCTTTCCTCTGTGATATGCTCCATTCAGGGTACTCAGAGGAACAGAATTCTGGATTAAAAAAATATTGGCTGTAACAAATGCTGATATGCAAAATCCAAGCATTTATCAAACAGCAAGAGGGAAACTTGAATGAACGAATGCAGTTTACCTCCAAGTTCTCTGAAAGGAGATGAACAAATAAATACCGTGTTTTACCAGTGCTCCCCTCAAAGCATCATTCTAAGCATGCAGGAGGTTGTTGTGAGCAGCTACATAATAAAATCTAACCCAGAGGTAGGTTCAAGGACAAGAGTAGGAGTGAAATAATCCTTCTAAGGCCAGTTATCATTTCACAGAATGCCCATTTGTGCCGGAGGATAAGCCTATTACCTATTTTCTTCCCAATAAGAAGGACATTCCCAGTTTTAACCTTGCTGGAAAAGGGGCATTGCTGCACCTGCTATTGAGAACAGCTAGGGTACAGAATAAGGCTGACATAAAATTATTAGCAAGCACATACTAGGTATTCCAGTTTGAAATCTACCAGACTGTAAAAGCGAGCAGAAACAAACAATTGAGGATGAACTGTTGTTCCTCAAGATGATGGAACAACACCTTACAATGGAGGTGCCTTAACTCTATGGAGAACATCTTTCTCAAGGTAGGTAGAACATAAGGAACAGTATCACCAGAAGCTGAGCAGGACACTTCAAGACCAAAAGGAGAGGGAAAGAAAGCACTTAGGAAGAAAGGTGGTAGGGCTGGGGATATAGGTCAGTGGCAGAATACTTGCGTAGATGTGGGATGGATCCCCAACCCTGTAAAGGAAAATGGAAAAGAAAGGAAAACAAAGGGAAGAAACACAGTAAAGAAATGTTCTGGGTCTGATGGGATAAGTGAATCTAAGGTAACTACACCAAGATAAGGGACCCGTCACTCCAGCATGAGACTGTTGTACAATATTTTAAAACATCTTTTAAATTTTGTTTTGGATTTCTGAGATAGCTTCTTTCTGTGTAGTTCATACTGGTCTTGAACTCATTATGCAGCCCAGGTTGGCCCTGAACTGGAGATAATCCTCCTGACTCAGCCTCCCAAGTGCTGGGATTATAGGCGTAAGCCACCAGGCCAGGTTTTTTAAAATATCTTTTTTTTTTTTGCCCCTTAAAATATCTTAAACCCAGAGAAATATATGAAAAAATATGGCAGTTAACCAAATAAATTAAAACCAAACCTCCAACAGTACAATTTTTTCAGATTTAAAATCAAAGAAACTCATTTTTCATTAATTCTGTGTATTACCGGGGGGGAAAAGTAGCAGATGTAAAGATTTGTTTTATTTGTACTGGAAGAAGAAAGAGGATAAATAGAACTGTATTCCAATTGTTCTCCACCGTACACACACACACACACACACACACGGGACAGTTATTAATTTCAACAACCCCAAAGTCCAAGCTTCCCTCTCTGCCAACACCTTTGCCATTACAGTTCATGCAGAAGCCAAATCAGTCACAGAAATGCTTCCTGGAATACTAAGCTGATGCAAACAGCTAAACAAGTCTTAGAAAATTAGCTGAACAGGTGCCACGGCAAATGTTGGACAGAAAAGCACCAAAGCCAAAAGACGTTGATGAAGAAGATGATGATGTTCCGGATCTTATAGAAAATTTTGATGAAGTGTCAAAGAATGAAGCTAACTAAAATCTTTTCTGGTTTTTGGAAGCTGGCATGGACTAGATTTAACAAATCAGCTATGTGGCTCCAAAGTTTTACAGGCACAGAGAACATCATCTATTACTAGTTCAGTACTATAAATAGTTTGTATATTAATAATGATGATTGTTCAGTATCTTTTGGTCCTTTGATTTTTGCCTTTTGCACTTCCTACCAGGATCCAGTCTTTTGGTCAAAATGTGAAGAATTGGTATAGTTTGAGGGTGTTTGGGGTTTTGATTCTTGGATATCTGTTTTATTTGGGGGGGTAATTTTCTGAGTTTCTTGATACAGTGGATCCTCAAGTTACGGCCGGCCTGACATACAAACAACTTGGGATAATTAGGTCAATGGAAGATTCATCTGCCTCTTGTTATCTATAGCATGTAGGTAGGTAGACGTCCAGATTTCAGATGTATTGACTTACAACCAACAAGAGCTAAAACCAGCCTTTGGGAACTGATTGAATTCCTAAGGCAAGGGTCCACTGTATTATGGGTGAGGAAGCAAAGGTGTCTGGATGGATTTCTTGCTTATTCAATGATATCAATGGATATGTGAAGAATTATATTTGCAAAAGTAATATTCAGCACTGACAGAAATCCCCAGCCTCGATATGCTCATTCCAGTGGGGAAAATAGAAAATAAATTATTCTCAAAGCGAAATTAGAGCAGAAAGAGCCAGAAAGATAGAATACATAGAAAAATGAGAAAATACGAAGATATATATGCAAATAATCAATGCCAAATTGCAATAAATCCAAGCAGCCTTATAATATTGCATAGTTAGAATTATAGCTTTTTGGAAGTGGGCAGCTGACAACACACATAAGTGAGATATCTGTAAAAGTATAAGTTTCCTTTCAGCACCATCATTTTATTCATATTATATGAAACAGAAGGACTAAACAGTTCAATTGTAGCTCCAGACACTACAGTTCCACAGAAACTGTAAGGGACGAGAAAGGAGGAAGTGATGACCAGAATACAGCCCTCCAGTCACATCCCTTGCAAGCAGGGCCCTTCCAACCAGGCTTTATCTCTGAACTTGGGACTTCTGGGGACATTTTAGATTTAAATGTAACAGTTTCCAAAGTAGTACTAAAGTCTATATATATTCTAATATTTTATTCTTCTTTAGCTAAGTAGTTTTTGTTTCCAAAACTTTGGATTTATATTGTATTTCCTGATGATATATTCCTTCTCCTTGGGAGAATATTAACTTTACATTTGGCACTGTCCCCTTAATTGCATTTTAACTTTATATTTTCTTCCTCAGTGAAGATAATATTTATTCTGTACCAGATTTTGTATTCCTATTATTTTCAAGTAAAGGTTAGTTTTTATATTATGTCATGCTCTGAATTTATTTGTCACATTAATCTTTGTCTTATTTATTCACCGTTTTTTATTTACCTTGCCCAACACTCCTGCATGAGGGACCCACCTACCCTCTCCTAAATTCACCTGTTAGTCTCAGTCACTCCATCACTGCTATAGTTATCTTAGAATGTAAGATTTCCTTATTAATCCTAAAGTCAATCAATCTCAAACACAGAAAATCTATTACTGCAAACTATATTAAATTTGATGTCTAATCTGAAGTCAGATTTCTCTGTTTCCCCTTCCATGTTCCTCTCTCATAAGCAGGACCCACTCCAGCTTGATTTTGTGGTGATGGTGTTGTTTCTGTAACCACTGTTGGGAGTTTCTCCCTTCCCAGAAGGTTGCCCAGTGCTTATGCTGGCGTTGTGTCACATTTGAAGAAGATCCTCCCATTCTTTCCGTCCTTCCATCCTCATGCTGAAAGGAATGAGACTCTCGTACCACTTCTCTGCTTTGCTGAGCGGTGATTTTGTTTACTATGTTCTGATAACAAAAATTCCGACATTGCGGTTGCTAACAGGTGTTGTGTGAATGGAGCAAAGTGAGCAGGAGGAAATGGCAATTCTTTTAAAATCAAGTCCTTTTCCCAATCCAAGAACAAATTGCACTTGGTTTGAGAGACCTCTTGAGAGCCAAAAGAAACACTCTAATGCTGCATTTTTTTTATTAAACTATAGAACTAAATTTAATTGTAGCTACAGATAGCATTGTGTGTATGGCACAGGTCGCATAGCTTGCGTCAGTGGGAGGATGAGACTTCTGCTTCATTTTTGCTAATTTATATACGTTAGGATATGAGGCTAAAATGTGATACTAAGGTCCACAGCTAGTTCCAGTTTTGTCTTTGAATCATTTATCTCAAAATAGTTAAATTTAGTGGCTGTGAGTCGGTGGCTCAGAGGTAAGATGATCTACTGGCTTACATACCGGAGATTGAGATCCCAGCCCGGAAGTGCTGCCTTTTCAGTATGTTACAAGCAGGTGTGCAGAAAAGGATGAAAATATACTGATCAAAGCCTTGGAAGATGTAAAGTCCAGAATACGTTGTATGTGCTGTGTCAGACTAGCTCAGAAACTGTAGTTACACGGCATTCTATACACCTATAAGGTTGAAACTCTAATAGCATATCAGAGCTTCCTCACCTGTTACTTTGCCAAATGATATATTAACATATCTGAATGGATTACATATGTTAATAACATTTATTAATGGCTTGTGGAGCCATTTTGCCAACATGGTCTGTGACATAATTATTTAAAATATACATACAAGTGTTTCTGACCTGCAGCTCACAGGTGAAACAACACTGACTTGCACTGCCTGAAGAAATTGCTCTGGATCACATACAAAATACACAGAATAGTTAATGTATATGAATAATAAACTTCCTTTGGAAATAAGTTTTACTTAGACAGAGATATTTTAACCCACGGACCACAGGTTGGCGCCGTCAGGCTTAAACCTCAGCTTTGATTTCAGCAAAGCTGATAACAAATTGAGATGGGTTATAAACATGTACCAATTCCCTATAATGCATGTAATCATTATGTATGGCAAACACGTACTAATAAAAAGCAAAAATTAAAAAATAAGTTTTTCATTTCAAAAGCTAAACAAATTACAAGATTAGAACTGATGCTGCATGTGATATCATAGGCTGATTACTACGATAATATCAGAAAATGACTTGTTATGGATAATTTATTAGATTTTTTAACCAATATGTTGTTTAATATAAAGGAAGAACTATTGACATTTTCTATAGCTACATCTTGCTTTTTCCTTTAAAAATTCTAAAGATTTAAGGAATTGAATTTTTGTAGCATTCCAGCACATGCTACTATTTTTCTTTTGTATAAATAGAGTTGGCCAAATTATTGTCTCTCAGATCTCTCAAATAAGACCATTCTCACAGGTTAATGTTTTAAATTGAGTTGCGCATAAAGTAATCAGCAATGACCTTAGCAATATTCTTTAAAAACGAAGCAACCAGCCTTTCAGAAAGTTACTCTATGCCACAAAGTATACTAGATTTCACATCAAAATAAGTTCACCATCATTATTCTAATTTTACCTGCTTGGGGATTGAAGAGCAAATCATTGGATTGAGTTGCCGAAAATGTTGCAATTAACTATGCACCTGCTGTATTCAAACACCTCCTTGTGCTACAAACATTCAATGAGCCCCTGCCATAATCTAAGCAATTGTAGGTGCAATTGGAATCAAGTATGCCATCTGATATTTACAAGATAAGAGAGATAGTAAATAAGGGAAAATTATATTCCTGGAAAACATAATACTACTCAAAAGAAAAATATAATCCAGTGACTCAGATTGAAGGAATACAGATGTTGTAGTCCTTGTACTTTTAAAAGAGCTCCTATAAAAGAATGGCTATGGGATTGCTATCCCTAGCTCATAAATATGGCAAAGAAGGAGTTACACTGGTATTCGGTGGTTGCAAAAGGTGTCCTCAAAATGCACTGCTTCAGGAATTGTCTACCTGCGTCTTCCGGTATCTATGGTTGCCCCCTGGCCATCACTTATTAATCAATAAAATTTCACAAAGAAAAGCCATAAGATATATTCAAGTACCTTTGAACCTAAGGCAAACAATGAGTAATAATGAATGCAAGGAAGCAATGAATTAGACCACAGAATCTAACATACTCCAGAACTTTTTATTTTTCACATTCATTTTTTTAGCCACCTACTGTGAATCTCTAAGAAGAACCAAGGAGTTAATGCCGTTCAATTGAGAAAATTTTGGGCTTCAGGATCTCACCTTCCTGTTGTGAAAAATTAATGTTTTTTGTCAGTTTTCTATGTTGGGATTTTGCCTAAGAGATGATGTTGAAAAAATGTAAAAGTTCTCAGTTAAAAATGGGTGACAATGGGTTGACTGATTTTCAAGGATTCTGTGAAACAACAGAGGAAAGAGGCTACAATTCTCTGTCCCTCAGGGCTCCCATTAACATCACTCAGAGCCACCTGCTGGTCGTGACCTGTCATCGCTATACGTTTTTGTTTTTTGTTGGACCCATATCCAAGTCTGTTTACACATAGTTCCTTGGAGACAGGCACTCCATTCAAGTGAAGTATGTCAAATGTGAGGGTTTTTCTAGATGCCTCAGGAGCCAAGCACATTCTCACATTAAGGTATTAGCACTGTGAATTGAATTTGAAACTCCAGAGACCAAATTTCTTATTGATCTAAATTAGAACCAGCTATACATTCTGTGCTATTCAAATCTATGTAAATATATTTCCTCAAAAAAGCTCATAAAAATCCAAAAGCCTATGACAATCAGAAAACTATTTATTATTTATCAATAAATTAAGTTTTGACACATGCATACACTTTAGGAAAAAAAAAATCATTCCTTTTCTCCTGTCGAAATCTTCATATATATTTTTAAAAACCATACACAGACACACACACACACACACACACACACACACACACACACATATGTATGCACACACACATATATGTGTGTGAATGATTTCTGAAAAACACTTTAATTACTAGCCTTTTTAGTCCATATATTACTTAGACAAAAGATATAAAGGAATTATTTTTCCTTCCCTCTCAAGAGG